TTAGAGGACATAAAACAAACACATTGCAGGCAAAACAAAAATTTCCCACTTACAGATTAAGCGCCTCTCTCCCCCCCTCCCCACCCCAAAATCAATCACACAAATCAAAGCAAACCAAGTATATATAACGCAACAAAGAGATTAACAAAACCAGGGAACCGCCATTAAAACAACCAAGATAAGCTCACAACCAGAATCTAAACTTACAGCCATTGACAAGAGTCCTTGGTTGCAGTCCTCGTTTCTTGACGGAGATAGATAATACCCAATTCACAGAGTTCGCAAAGGAGTACCATGGGTTTTTCAAATTAGTTGACCATTTACGGAAATCCCAATTGAAATCTGGTTTTTTGCTCCAGGGACTAATCGATAGTGACAAAGAAGAAAATACCCAAACCAAAAGCCGCCATGGAATGAGAAGTTCCCGGCAACAGTTAGTCATTGTTTAGTTTCTTACTGGTCAGAGAACAGATTATTCTTGTCTGATTTCATCTGATTTGCCATGAAATCAGACCCCCTTGGCTTCTTATTTGTCATCCAGTGAATGACTTGGCAAATAAGCCCAAATTTTATCTTTTAAACAACACACAGCAAATTCCTATATAACGACACAAAAATTTTGGAAAAAAACCCTATATTATTCAATGATCATTTGATTCCAATGTTAAAAGCGACGCACGCACCCGCTGCCAGATTGCCGAATATCATCGGCCAGCACAACTGTCTTGAACCACGATTTTTACTGAATAACAGATAGAAAATCCTTTACAATATCTAATTAATTTTGTAGTTTCGAAAACATCTGAGTAATTTTCTTACGCGGATTCACCAAAATTTAGCGTTATTAGCTTCGATTCAGAAAAAATATATATATTTTTTAAATTTGATTAGAATTATTTAATTTTTTAAAAAAAATTTATATATTTTCGTATGTGAATCTTTTCACGTATCCTCTAATTCACCAAAACATATATATTTTTTATTTTAACAATAATTTTAATTTTTTTTTAATTTATTACACTAAATTATATTATTTATTCAAAATACAAAAATAAATTATAATTCTTTTACATACCCAGTTTCAATTAAGTTCTTTCTTATAATTTTTGCAGTTTATATTTGTTTTTTTTTCTCAAGAAACTGTGTTTCTTATCCAACCATACCACACATGCATATATATATATATATACATCCAACTATATGAAGAAACAGCCAAAAACAGAGAAAAAAATAGGGAAAATTAAATAATTAATTATCTAAAAAGCATAAACTTTTAATGTAATTACTTAGAAAAGTCAACTATTTAATATCATTGATCATTCAAATGACTTACAGTACCTGATGGTCAATATCACTCTCATTACTGTTGTATACAAAATTACAAACAAAGCAGGTCAAAAATCCTAGACTTGTAGAAAATTATGACTTAATCCCCAAAAGGAAAAAAAGAAGAAGACGCACAATGATATAAAATCATATATGATCTACTGTGTATACATGACATCTTATAAAAACTATGTTAGGAGAACACGCCGGGATTCTGTACGAAAAATGCTGTTCAACTCGGTATGCAGATCGACTCCCATCTTCCTCGCAAATGAAGAAAGGTGAATCGAGCTACTTTCACGACCAACTCACTGTCGAACAAATACAAAAGTCAGAAACTGCTGAAATGGCAGAACAAGTGAGTTCAAGATATAGGTTATGTTGGGTAAACAAAAAGGATTTCTAATTTTCATTTTCTAAATTTATATTTATTTCATCACAATTTAATTTACTTCTGGGATATGGGACTTGCCATTCCTGCTTTTTGGCTAAGCAAGAAAAGCTGTCCTCCTTTAGACATGTCTATAGAAGATTTTAGCTGGTTTGCTATTCCTTTCTCAATATAATCATAGAATAGTTTCGTAATTAACTTTCGTATTTATATATAGGTAAGGCATATAATTGACCAGGAACTGTCTTAAACTTAAATCGATCAAGAGTACCAATGGAGAAACATCTAGGGATGTGCGGTATTATAATTCATCTAATGTTAGCTACAGTTTCTTATCCCTTGATATTGATCTCTCCCTCTCTGCGGAGCTCAAGCTCACACGTGCACAAACACAGTTCTACATTTATATGATAGGCAAAGAGAAAATTGAGAAATACCAAGAGTCTTGTTGAGCAGCCAAAGTAATAGAGCTAATTCAATCCCAAATATGGTGTGAAGCCATGTTCGATCCAGCATGAATCCGTACACTGTAATTCCTGCTCTGTTGTTCTCTAGATATGTTACTGCAATATACATCATCAACCTGAT